GCGGACCACGTGTCAGGGGCGGAAAAACGGCCACTGACCATGCGGCAGGGCAGAAAAACGTCCGCGGACCACGTGTCAGGGGCGGAAAAACGGCCACTGACCATGCGGCAGGGCAGAAAAATGGCCGTGGACCACGTGTCAGGGGCAGAAAAATGGCCGCGGACCACGTGGAACAGGCAGAAAATCGCTGCGGACCACACAGCAGGGCAGAAAAACGGCCGCGGACCATGTGGAATGGGTGGAAAAATGGCCACGGACCGCGTGGAACGGGCGGAAAATGGCCGCGGACCACGTGGCACGGGCGGGAAAATGGCCGCAGACCACGTGGCACGGGCGGAAAAATGGCCGCTGACCATGCGGCAGGGCAGAAAAATGGCCGTGGACCACGTGTCAGGGGCAGAAAAATGGCCGCGGACCACGTGGAACAGGCAGAAAATGGCTGCGGACCACACAGCAGGGCAGAAAAACGGCCGCGGACCATGTGGAATGGGTGGAAAAATGGCCACGGACCACGTGGAACGGGCGGAAAATGGCCGCGGACCACATGGCACGGGCGGAAAAATGGCCACAGACCACGTGGAATGGCCGGAAAATGGCCGGGGACCACGTGGCACGGGCGGAAAAATGGCTGCAGACCATGTGGCACGGGCGGAAAAATGGCCACAGACCACGTGGAATGGCCGGAAAATGGCCGCGGACCACGTGGCACGGGCGGAAAAATGGCCGCAGACCACGTGGCACGGGCGGAAAAATGGCTGCGGACCACGTGGCACGGGCGGAAAATGGCCGTGGATCCGGTTCGTAAGTCGAGGCAAATTCGTAAGTAGAGGTAAATTTTTGGGGCCGGAGCTGGTCGTATCTCGAAATTTTCGTAAGTAGGGGCGTTCGTAAGTAGAGGTACCACCGTATAAGCATTTAAGACAGAATAAATATACTGAGAATTAAGTAATAGGTTACTTGGTAGATCAAGGGTACAGGCAAATTCGTAAGTAGAGGTAAATTTTTGGGGCCGGAGCTGGTCGTATCTCGAAATTTTCGTAAGTAGGGGCGTTCGTAAGTAGAGGTACCACTGTATAAGCATTTAAGACAGAATAAATATACTGAGAATTAAGTAATAGGTTACTTGGTAGATCAAGGGTACACAACTGGTTTGGGGCTGAAGGCTGCATTTGATCATGGAGAGGAGTAGTGTTTGTCACACTCCAACATGTAGGTAGGGCCAAGACAAATATAAATGCTGATTTAAATTGTGTGTATGCATACACACATACACACACACAAACTCACATACATACACATGCATACATACAGAGAGAGCGAGAGAGCATTACAATGAAATACAATTAACATTAGTGGTGTGCAAAGCTTTTTGGATTTGATTAAAACACCATGTTTCATGTTCAGAATCTTGGTTTTGAATTCCAAAGAGATTTTTTGACCATTCTGGAAATGTTTCAAGCTCAGAACCTGATTGGAAAGAGTACTTGGAACGGTCAAAACAAGCCAATGAATAGGTATGATAATATATATGGATTGAATGAAAAGTAATGCCACCACGGTAGAGGAGTATGGAGATAACCTTAAAAAGGAATGTGAAAGTTATTTAAACACCAGCTCATCCCTGAGAAAGAAGAGGGTGATGAGAAAGAAACCCAAAATTGCCCCACTTTGGTTCTTTGTGGTATAAAAAGAGACAGAGAGAAAGTCTATCAAGCCTTCAAGATTCTGTTACTACATCAATAACAATAAAATACAGTTCCGATAGTTCTTGTGGTATCTGTTTCCTGACCTGGCCTAACTTGAAGGGCTGATATCTATCTCCATAACTTTAGTTAAACAAGGATAATTTAACAAATGAAGTACGAAAATAATCCCCGAAATTCTCTCTTTTGCCTGTATTTACTTCTCCACATAATCACCACCACTTGCTACACACTTCTGCCAACAATGGATAAGCTTCTTAAAGTCATCATGAAAGAATTCCATATTTTGTCTCTTCAGCCAGGTCCTGGCAGTGCTTTTTACCTTTTTATTTGAGTCAAACAATACTCTTTCAGCAGTCAAAAATTCAATCACGGCGCATTGCTTAAAGCACATTGATGACTACTCACTGCAGGCTTCCATTTCATGAACAATAGCAACATAACCTTATTTCACAGCAACTTCCCACCCACTGAAGTGAAAGAACACATGCTAAAGAACAGGTCAGAATTTCTAGCACATCACTACTGCAATCTTTTGGCGATCTTTATGCCATTGGAGGCACTACCTATCTGTCATTCAACCCTTGTAGATAACATGATTAAATGTTCTGTTGGGCAGTTCTAGTCAATGGCTGGAGGAGCTTTGGAGTAGGGGGCATTTCACATGCTTTGGATGTCTCATGGGGCTTCATTGATTTGTGCATCCCAAAGGTAGACAGATGTCATTGGAAAATTCACAAATGAGACATGCCAATGCTACTCATCTTCTGTTTCTAAGTGCAAGATCACATCCTTTTTATTAATCATAGCAAAAAATATATATCTAGATAATGACTATCATACTTTGTTCTCTCTGCAGTATTCCCTAGAGTTGATCGCATGTTGAGGACATGTTTTGAAGGAGGAGAAGGACTCCTTTTTATGTCACTTTTCTAGAAAACTGCTTCTTCCCAGATACAACAGTATATGTAAAAATGTATGGGCTTATGCATGTTTCTATTGCAAGGGGAGTATGGTTTCAAAAGCCAGAGGTTGCATTCACTTTTTAAAAATCAACAAAAAAGTACTGCTCCATTTAGTAGTGGTTTGTCACAATCCTTAATGGTAGATTTTTTTTCCTCATATGAAGAAGATTGTTAAGGGGCAACATAAATTAGGAACATTATTTTGGAGTACTACACACATTTTTCTCCAGTCCTCATGCATTTTATTTAGTGTTTCTAAGAAACCACAGAAAGAACATCCAGCAGTGTGGTTAAGGGGCAACATAAATTAGGAACATTATTTTGGAGTACTACACACATTTTTCTCCAGTCCTCATGCATTTTATTTATTAAGGGGCAACATAAATTAGGAACATTATTTTGGAGTACTACACACATTTTTCTCCAGTCCTCATGCATTTTATTTATTAAGGGGCAACATAAATTAGGAACATTATTTTGGAGTACTACACACATTTTTCTCCAGTCCTCATGCATTTTATTTATTAAGGGGCAACATAAATTAGGAACATTATTTTGGAGTACTACACACATTTTTCTCCAGTCCTCATGCATTTTATTTAGTGTTTCTAAGAAACCACAGAAAGAACATCCAGCAGTGTGGAAGAAGTGATCATCAGTATGCGGACTGAGAGTTCTATGTAGTTTTGCATCTGTATGGGGATCTTCA